CGGTAACTTGGTGACATGGAGAAGTAAGAAACAAGATGTGGTTGCCAGATCAAGTGCAGAAGCTGAATTTCGAGCTATGGCTCAAGGCATTTGTGAGTTACTGTGGCTGAAAATTGTACTTGATGATCTCAAAATAAAATGTGAGGGACCTATGAAGCTGCTATGTGATAATAAGTCCGCTATTTGTATAGCTCATAATCCAGTTCAACATGATCGGACTAAACATATTGAGGTCGACCGCCATTTCATCAAAGAGAAACTTGATAGCGGGTTGATTACCACTCCATACATTCCCACTGGGCGTCAATTAGCTGATCTATTAACAAAGGGGCTTCCTACAAACAGATTTCAAGAACTTACTAGCAAGCTGGGAATGATAAATATCTATTCCTCAACTTGAGGGGGAGTGTTGTAAATAATATTGATTTAATTATTATTTAGTTTATTGTTGTATTGGGCCAAGCCCTTTGTTGTATTGGGCCAAGGCCTTTAGGTTAAAAGTAGGTCACATATTCTCTATAAATAGAGAATCCCTTGTACACATTATTTACAATTCTAATATATATCAGAATACCCTTTTTCAAGTGTTTTCTACCTGTCAGTCATGGGATACATCTTTCAAAGGCTATGTGTCCTAAGTCACAGCCTGAGAAGGATCGCATGAGTGAAATTCCATACGCTTCGGCTATTGGGTCCATCATGTATGCCATGATATGTATGAGACCAGATGTCTCATATGCTTTAAGCATTACGAGCAGATACCAGTCTGACCCTGGAAAGGGTCACTGGACGGCAGTTAAGACCATCCTTAAATACTTGAGAAGAACTAAGGATGTGTTTTTGGTCTATGGTGGGGTTAATGAGCTTACAGTGAAAGGGTTCACTGATGCCAGCTTTCAGAGTGACAAAGATGACTGCAAGTCACAGTCAGGGTTCGTATTCACCTTAAATGGTGGGGCAGTATCTTGGAAGAGTTCCAAGCAGGAGACAACAGCAGATTCAACGACAGAAGCTGAATACATAGCTGCTTCAGAAGCGGCTAAGGAGGCCGTGCGGATCAAGAAGTTCATATATGAACTTAGGGTGGTTCCAAGCGTGGATGAGCCCATACAGTTGCTGTGCGACAACACTGGAGCCATTGCGCAGTCAAAGGAACCTAGGTCTCATCAAAGATCTAAGCACGTGCTCCGCAGATATCACCTGATTAGAGAAATCATTGATAGAATGGATGTAAAGATGGATTATGTTCCCACAGATGATAACCTGGCCGATTCTCTGACAAAGGATGTTTCTCAGAGAAAACATGATAGTCATTATGAGGCTTTGGGTATACGACTTAGGTCTGATTGGCTCTAGGCCAAGTGGGAAGCTTGTTAGTATTTGGGTGTCCTAGAGACAATCTTATGATTAAATAAGGACAGAGATGTAGACCTTTTTAATATTGTTGCAAATAAATAAAAGCACTCTTTATCTTGTCTCATAATTCTGTCTCGATATTAATGTTAATATATTATGAATAACTTGATAAACCCCATGGAATAAAATAGGTATCTCTTGAGTATCTGTGATGAGATCACAATCATGAGGATTCAAGAATACCGGATGTTTATTCCTAATTTTATGTTCCTAGTCTAGAGATACTGAGAATGGGGTCAGTAATCTCGGGTAAGACTAGCACGACTTATCTACTTGTATATGGATACAAGGTATAGACCTCATGTGCTACAGATATGGAGATGTCTTAGCTAAAGTCGTGGGTGGACCTATAAGGGTATAGCTCGCACTGAACGGACCCACAAAGAGACTCTATGAGAAAATCTCACAGATAGTATCATTAGAGTAGTCTCTTCATATTTGGGTATGTCTTTCCTTAGACCAAAAGTTATCACTTAGACTGTGTTCTAGAAGGCATGCTTTGACTGTATACCTCGTCTGCCTGAAACATGGAGCCTCCTAGGTATGCTCTTGGGCTTGTCCTGATAGGGCACAGGGCTAGGGTGATAAGCTGAAGGAATTCGTCAAATCTCTGTGAGAGATTAGGTTATCCTTAAACCGGAGAAATCAGGATGACATTTACAGTGACTTGGGAATCTATGCATAGTAAAAGAGATCATAAGATGATCCGCCTTTGGAGTCAGTAAATTGAAGACTCCTTATTTCATATAAAGCTAACCCTAAACCGCAAGGGTTGATGCGTTTCCTTACCCTAGGTTTTATGGGAAGGTAACCGAGACGAAGGGACAAACATACGACAACCAAATATGTTTATTAGGATGATCAAATCATTAATCTAACTAGTTCTGGGGCAACAAAGCATTGCTAGTGCTCTGTGTTGTCATTAGATGGGTTGTGGGCTTATTGGGCCCAAGCCCATTTATGTCAGTGGCTAAGTTGGACCTAATGGGTCACACACAAACACCTAATTGTCTAGATGCTCTAGCATTAAAGATATTGGGCCTAATAATAGTTATTAGCCCAAGAAGTTGTTTGGAACTCCACCTAAAGGGGTGGAGGGTGCATGGATCATTGTAATGGGCTTGGATAGTCCAAGACATTACTAATTAATTTAATTATTTAAATTAATTATCAAACATTTAAATTTTGAATTTTGGAATTCGAAATTTGAATTTTGAAATTTTGAATTTGAATTTCGAAATTCGAATTTTGAATTTGAAATTTGAAATTTGAAATTTGAAATTTGAATTTTGAAATTTGAATTTTGAAATTTGAATTTTGAAATTCGAATTTTGAATTTTGAATTTTGAACTTTGAATTTTGAATTTGAATGTTTGAACATTTGAATTTGAATGTTTGAACATTTGAATTTGAATATTTGAATGTTTGAATTCAAATATTTGAATTCGAATTTGAATTGCCTATGAAAGGTTGTTTCATAACAAAAGGATAAGATGAGATCTTGTTGGAACAAATCACTAGTATCATGAGAGAATCTTTTGGACATAATCCAAGGCTATATATGGCGCTGATTTGGGCTGTTGGTGAGCAAGATTTGCTCATCAAAATCAGCTCCAGAAGATTCAGTCAGTTGGGAGAAAATCTGAGTGAGTTGATTCAAATTTGAATGCAACTACTCAGATGTATCTGGTCACCTTTTTGGGCTATATGGGGCGCACCATATAGCTAATCTTATGAAGATTTCTGATCAGAATTTTGAATAGGTTTTGAACCAATTCTCAAGAGAATATTCCAGGAGCCTGTTAGCAATTTTTGAAATTAAACAGCTCCACTTCTCTCTCTCCAATCTGGCGCCTAATGATCAAATTTTTGGGAGAAAAATCTGATTGGTATTTTATTTTAAATACTCTCCTCTTATGCGCCTATGTGATTAGTTGTTCCTCCAAGGGTTTTTTCTGAAAAGCCTAGCCTATTCTCTCTTCTCTCCTGCGCCACTTGTGAAGCTTTCACATTGAGAGCTTCACACTTTCAAACATTTTCACCTAGCCTCCATCTTCATACATAGAGCGCCTAGCAAGCCTCTTTGTGGTGATCATCCGGTGGCTTCACAAGAAGGAGTTCTTGCACCTAGACGAGTGGGTGATGTGGATCAACATTAGAGGGTCTGAACCCTTCAGACCTGCCTTGATCATCTGGTGATTTCACGAACAAGGTAACATCATGCTTTCCTAAAGCATGATCTTGATGTGCATGTATATTCCGCAAAGAAAAATTTTGTTTTTCCCTCTTGCATGCATCGGCCTTCAAGGCCATTTCGAACTTTCAATTGTTAGTATAGGTAGTACAAATTAATTCTTATAAGTTATCCTCAACTGTATTGTCCTATACCAGCACAGTCTCTAAAATCCCTCTCTTTCGGGTGTTGATTCGATCATTCATGTACCCCTGCCGCTGGAAGCCTCTGCCAGGAGTCGCTCATTGTCTGTGCCCTTGTGTACCGGCGATCACTCCCCACCTTCGTCAGCACCCGAGAAGTTACATGTGATATGGGCATGAATTGTCAAGAATGAATGTGGAATTGACAAGATAAAAGTCTTGTGATATAATTGGATATATGAAAGTCAAATCTGATAAATGTGAAATAGTTGCTTGTGTTTCAAGTAAGCATGTTGTAGGAGCTTCAAGAGGTAAGCTCTTGGTTTAGGAATATTTTTCTCTGGGTTGTTCCACTGGGGTCTAAAAGGATCATGGTTGCAATATTTGTGTGTTTGTCTATTGAATTATGTTGGATACTTAGTGTAGTTGCATTCATATAGGTGATGACATGTGATTGGATATCTGAGATAACATGATAAATTAATAGACTTATATGATGTATGTTATGCTATATGTATTTGACCTTTCATGTAGGAAGAGAATTCACGGGTGGAGAGTACTGCATAAACCCTGAGTTTACGAGATTTATTTCTCACCCCGCGTTATGGGGATATGTTTCAGGTATTTTAGCTGCAAGAGAGCCTTCACTTGGTAAAAGGGTGACATAGAGATAGAGGTCCCAAATACGCTGGAGAGATGACTAGATACTTCAGCATGATGTATGACCATGCACTTGTATAGTTGCTATTGTTATCAGAGGCATGTGTGGCCTTAGGTTATGATTTGATGCAGTATATGTATACAGATGATGAGTGTTGGCACGGAGCCATTTTTAGTCCACTGAGTAGGACAATTTGAAAATTATAGGTGGTCTGGACTTTTCTGTATTTCAGGTACAAGATAATTGTGGGAATTAATCACTGGTTAAGTCCAGTTTACAGCTGTTATGCTATCCGTGAGGCACTATTCAGAATGGTACAAGATATTATAACTAGATAGTATTTTGACTATTAATTATAGTTACTGAAAGGATAAATAAGAGGTCTGTGCAAGTGTAGAACTGTACAGATTATAATAATTTAAAAGGGAATTATGCGATGAAATATGTAAAGATAATTAAAAGAAAAAGTTAAGTCACTAGTTACGTGGATAACAATGATACTTTTATAAGTTAAGTCTTCCGCTTAAATTATGTAGCATTTCTGTACCATATGAATGTTAACTAACCGGTTGCGAACTAGGGTGTTACATTAGACAAGACCTTACAAATAATATAGAGTTATGTCTTCATTGATCTTCAAGTTTTTGTCTATTTAGAGTTATGTAGAGTCTTTCATCACTTGAATATTTTGACTTCATGGTTGACTTTACCATTTTAAGTCTTTTCTTCAACTTTGCACTTTGGTATAGGCTTCTTGTATCATTTGTGACTTGTTGTCTTGCATTGCATTGAGAGCTTGCTTCCATGTTAGTCTTTTGTAAGTACTTTATTATCATCAAAACTTCAATATCATAGTCTTCTTAACCTATGGTTCAATACATGATCGGTCCAAAGTGTAACCCAAACCGATTATCCCACCGGGACCCGGTTGACCCGAGTTTAATAACCCTGCATAAAACATTGTGAACAATACATATTGTTACAATGAGACAAATTTGGACTAATTGAAGATGATGTTTGAATTTTCAATAATAAATATCTAAGGTATTAATTATCATTTAATTCAATTAATTCTATACAAATTTGTAATGATACCAATTTAATGCTTAATTATATATTATATATTATTTACAATCATATTAATAATTTTAAGTGATATTAATATTTATATGAAAAGAGAAAATAGAGTGAAAAAAATAACAATGAAATTTAGATAACCTTGTAAAGCGTGGCAACATCATAGTCCCACCAAATTGGTAGCAAGCCACCCGGTGAGATTGCCAATGAAATTCTCCTATCATGCGATGGCGTCTTTAAACTTTGATTTGAAATAGCCAAAACACAAAGCGAAGAAAAATGGATATACAATGGTATCTAAAGACACTGACATATAATGAATAAATAAAAAAATAAATAAAAAAATAACAAAATAAATAACAAAACACAAATAAAAAAAAAAAAGACACTGACATATAATGATATAATACTACGCAAACGAAATGATCTAAACCACTTTATTAGCTATTGGGGTGGTGATGTGAACCAATTCCAGAAAGGGAAATTGAAGAGTTATGTTGGTGGAAGATAAAACTTTTTTCCAAACATATACATAGAAAACAAGGCTAATTTTTATTTATTTATTTATTTTTAAAAATACAGCGGACCCCACAATGTTTGTGTCAGCAGAAAATTGAAATTTTTTCCTGTAACGTTACATATATAAACCCCATAAAGGAACTCATCATAGAGGTGAGGTTACTGTTGCATTAGATAATGACAAACATAAAACATTTATCAACAAACAACCATTCCACACATGTACCTGAATCATTAACATCAGCTCGATGTCGTCGATTTCGATTCATTATTGCATTCGGCTTTTGTCTAATTTCCCTTTTGAGGTGAGAGGACACAGTAGCTAGATTTACCCAGAAGATCAAAACAGAGAAACGAAACAATTATCTCAACAAAAAAGAGAGAGATAGAGAGAGAAATGAAACAAAACAATTAATTTATGAAAAAACACTAAGGGACAATGATAAATTAATTTTTCTCTAAATGACTAACATTCATTCAGAATCAAATGGAGAGTTCTTCAAGCAAGTCTAGGATTCTCAGAAGGTGAAGTCCTCCACACAATGTCTTTAAGCGCAGGGCGAAGCTCTTTGCTGCAGAACTGGTTATACTCCAAGGTATCACCATTGTCCTTCTTCACCTCCACAACCGAAAACGACTGCGTCACAGCATATATATCCGCCGCAATAGCAAGCTTCCCTTTGCGTCCATGGTCCTTACCCTGCAACCTCACCTTATTGACACTCTTCTTCACGTCGAACTTCACAGCCTTCGCAACCTCCTCCAACTTGGAAATCACACTACTCGCTGGCCTCGTAGTCGCGAACCTCATCTCCTTCTCTTCCTTCTTCTCCTCCTCGAACAATGCTGACAAATTGAACCCATCCGAAAGGGAAATTATGTGGAACGCATTCATAGTGGACGGTAAATCTAACTCTCTCTCATCTTTTTCATCTTTCTTTGTTTCCACCATGCTCTTGGGAACCGATTTTTTGAACCAAGGAGAATCCATGATCTGGGAAATAGTGATTCGGGTATTTGAGTTCGGGTCGAGAAGCTTGGTAATAAGACGGCGAGCTTCGGAGGAGAACCACGGTGGACATTTGAAGTCACCCTTGCAAATTTTCTTATACATGGTAACCAAATTGTCATCTTGAAAGGGTAGAAACCCAGCAAGAAGCACATAGAGGACGACCCCACAAGACCAAATATCAGCCTTGGTGCCGTCGTAGCCCTTTTTCTCGATCACCTCCGGCGCCACGTACGCCGGAGTACCGCACGTGGTGTGCAACAACCCGTCTTGCCTCAGGTGCTCGGCAAAGGTGCTGAGGCCAAAGTCGGTGACTTTAAGGTTCCCCCCTTCGTCTAAGAGAAGATTCTCCGGCTTGAGATCGCGGTGGTAAACGCCGCGGCTGTGGCAGAAATCGACGGCGGAGATTAGTTGCTGGAAGTAAACTCTGGCCTTGTCTTCCCTCAAGCGACCCTTGGCTATCATGTCGAATAACTCGCCGCCGCGAACGAGTTCCATGGCGATGTAGATCTTGGATTTGCTTGCCATTACTTCGTGGAGCTGAACGATGTTGGGGTGCTTCACCATGTTCATGGCGGATATCTCTCTCTTCATCTGCTCCACCATCCCAACCTCGATTACCTTCTCTTTCCCCACCACCTTCATGGCCACGCTTTTTCCTGTTTGCAAGTTTTTGGCATGGTAGACCTTAGCGAAGGTTCCATGACCCAGAACACGACCTAGCTCGTACTTGCCGTGGAGAACCGTGGATTGAACATGGCTTGTGGTTCCTTTATCACCCATGTTGATGAAAAAAGGAAAAGACTCGATCTTGTAGTAGTACTATTGCTCTGTTACAAACAACTAAGAGAAAAAAATAGGAGAAAACAGAGGATTTAAATTTGTGGTGGTTTTGGCGGCGGATTCACCCGTCTTCGACGTGTTTACGGTGGCAATTTCTGCCGCCGATTCTGCGCTTGACATCGCCAGCTACCTCAGTTCTTTTTAACCAAATGCCACTCATCTCTTTGCATTCATTCCCGAGATCGAAAATCTTTCACATTTAATGCTCTTATTCACTCCCTATTCTCTATTCAATGCACTTGATTCTCCTATTTATAGTGCCAAATCAATCCTGCGAGGTGGTTGAATTACCCTTTTGCCCCTGTGTTGAAATAGCCTCTGACACGCGTCGACATCGCAAATGGGGGTTACGTCTTACGACGGGAATGTTTTAACGTGTGGGGATGGTGACGCGTGTATGCTGTGATTCCTAATTTTGAGGGTTCTATTTCGTGCGCTAGTGAAATGGTAAAATGACTTGTTCCTAGTTGTGTGGATTGGGTCAAACGAGCAGTGGAGCCTGCGGGTTGGCTGGTTAGTTCGTGTGAGGGACACAGATGACAGATGAGGTTTCAAGTGGTAATAGTGGGTCAGTGAGGCTAAGAATCTCATGGCCTACAACAAAAAGATGAGTGACCCGGGTCCCCGCGTGACTGCGATTTCATGAATGCACCCATACTCCTTATTATGAATCAATCATGAATCATCCTATTATTACTAATAGAGTATATCTTTGCTTCATACAGTCGCCTTTTGGGATTTCAATTGGTAGATAATACCAATGCTTAGGGTTGTGCATGGGTCAGGTCGGGTCAGGTTTTTGTTCGACTCGACCCAACTTGGTTTTTATAGGTCAGGTATTTTGACCCGACCCGCTTTAATTTGATCCAAGTCAGGTCCGATTTGTATTGGATTTTGTTGAACTAGTTCAGAACCAGTTTGGATCTGACCTGACTTGGTTTCTGAACTAGGTCACATCTAACCTGACCCGTTTTTTACTTGGTTTTCTCACAAAATTTTGTCGAAATTTTTAGGTTGCAAAAGACGAAAATTTTGTCACAAGTTTTGACGAAAATGATTTCTTCCATCAAATGTTTTAAACGAAAAAAGAATTTTGTCAAAAAAATTGACGGAATGTTTTTCGTTCAAAATTTCGATGAGAATGTGTTTTGACGAAAATTATTTCGAGGGAAATGTTTCATTTGAAACTTTCGACGAAATTTAGCTTCTCTAAAGAATTTTGACAAAATAATTTTTTCGTCAAAATGTTTTTTTTGTCAAAAAAATTTACGGAATATTTTTATAGAAATGTGTTTTATTGAAAATTTTGATAGAAATTTTTTATCAAAAAACTTGACGAAAATATTTAGTTGAAAATTTTCGATGGAAATGTGTTTCGCTAAAAATTTCGACGAAAATGTATTTTTGTCAAAAAATTTAACGAAAATTTTTTCGTCGAAAACTTTTGCCGAAATTTGAAATCTGTAAAGAATTTTGATGAATTTTTTTACCGTCAAAATTTTTTGCCGTCAAAATTTTTTGATGACGAAAATGTTTCCGTCGAAAACTTTCGCCAAAATTTGAAATCTGTAAAGAATTTTGATAAAAATTTTTGCCGTCAAAATTTTTGATGACGAAAATATTTTCGTCCAAAACTTTCGCCCAAATTTGAAATCTGTAAATAATTTTGATGAATTTTTTTGCCGTCGAAATTTTTTGCCGTCAAAATTTTTTGATGACGAAAATGTTTCCGCCGAAATCTTTCGCCAAAATTTGAAATCTGTAAAGAATTTTGATGAAATTTTTTGCCGTCAAAATTTTTGATGACGAAAATATTTTCGTCGAAAACTTTCGCCGAAATTTGAAATATGTAAAGAATTTTAATGAAATTTTTTGGCGTCGAAATTTTTTGATGGAAATGTGTTTCGTCGAAATTTTCAATGGAAATTGTTTTGAGGAAAATGTTTTATTTGAAACTTTCAACGAAATTTAGATTCTCTAAAGAATTAAGACAAAATATTTTTTCTGTCAAAATTTCTTATCGAAATATTTTTGTCAAAAAAATTTACGAATTTTTTTTACAGAAATGTGTTTCGTTGAAAATTTTGATGGATATATTCTTTATCAAAAAACTTGACGAAAATTTTTGCTTGAAAATTTTTGATAGAAATGTGTTTCGCTAAAAATTTCGACGAAATTTTTTTTTTATCAAAAAGTTTAACGAAAATGTTTCCGTCGAAAACTTTCGCCGAAATTTGAAATCTGTAAAGAATTTTGATGAAATTTTTTTCTGTCAAAGAATATCGATGATAATGTGTTTCGTCGAAAGTTTTTATGAATATATTTTTTTATGAAATATTTTGACGAAATTTAGATTCCGTAAAAAAATTTGACAAAAAAAATATTCCGTCAAATTTTTTTACCGATATGTTTTTAGTCACAAATTTTGATGAAAATATTTTTCGTCAAAAATTTTGACGTAATTGTTTTACGTTAAAAATTTTCTTTTAATGTAATTGTGATTTTTTTTCACATAATGGGTATGGGTCAAGTTTTGGGTCAGTGGGTCAATATTAAAACGAGTCAGGTCTAAAACTGACCCAAATAAAAGTGGGTCAGTATTTAAACCAGTTCAAAAAATATGGGTATTTATGGGTCGGGTAAAGGTCAGATTAAGGGCAGGGCAAGTGAACCAGTTTTTTTGCACACCCCTATAACAAAGCTCACCACATTTTTTCGTCAAACTCAAAATAAAACTTATACCAAACACACTAAGATCCAATATATACTTTGCACCACATTTTAGAGAAAAAAAAGATTCTCCTATTCGAATGAGAGAGTACTGAGATTTTTGTTAGTGTCCTATCTTAGGGACAAATATGTCTAATCTTGCGACTAGTATATAAATATTGGATCTCCGTGTTCTCTCCCAGATTTATGGAAGAGACCTTAGAGATCAGTAGATCACTCTGTACTATAATAAATGATATAGCCAAAAAGTAAGATGTTTGCACAATGACAACTAAGAAAGAAAGGGTTTAGAAATATATGTACAGTATTTGCTTAACCCCTTATTTATAGATAAGTTATATGACAAGAGTGAACTTTTAGTATCTTAAGAATATTAAGAGTCCAATTGTTGATCAATTACTATTGTAATAAAATTAATATAATTAACCAAAATTTTCTTAATTTCCTCTAAACCGTTAGCTCTTTTTAAACCTTCTAAAATATGAATCTTTCGTAACAGTTACTACTTTTATTATTTCATCTAATAATCATATTAGAAATCTTTGAGCCCATCAGTCCGCTCTTTGAACACAATATGCATAAATCTGCCACCCATCAAGGTTTAGGTAATTATGTATTAAATTATTTGAGCCTGAGTCAACATAAATATATATATATATATATATATATATATATATATATATATATATATAGATATATTTACAATCACTTTAGTTAAGGTTATCTACAACTACTCAAAAATTACGTCGTTTTGATTAATGAGGGGTGTTTATGTAATTTTAGGTGAATTAATGAAGGGTGTTTTCATAATTTTATTTATTTTTTTATCATATATATTTCACTGAAACACTCTTCATTAATTCACCTAAAATTACATAAACACCCCTCATTAATCAAAACAACGTAGTTTTTGGGTAGCTATAGCTAACCTTATATAAAGTGGCTCTAGAAATATTTTTTTTCTATATATATATATATATATATATATATATATATATATATATATATATATATATATGAACATATGAATTGTGATCATTTGACATCGATATCAAACTTTAAAATTTGACACCAAATTTTAGCCATTAATTTCTTTAATCAATGGTTATCATTTATTAGAAATTAATAATTAATTAATAAGTTTGATTGGCGGAAATCAATTGTTAAGATTTAGCGTCAAATTTCAAAGTTTGATATCGGTGTTAAAAAATCCTGACCCATATATATATATATGTATATGTACTCCGGCGACTAAATCATAACTGTACAAAGATGAATCAGTGATGGTAAAGGAAGAGAGAGAAAAAGAGAATAATAACCATTCAAAGGTGAATCAATTAATATAAAGTAATAAATAAACAAAACGACGTAGTTTTTGAGTGGACGTAGATAAATATATCTCAAGTTGCTTGAGAAATATATGTATATATAATATATATATATATATATATATATATATATATAGGACAAGATCCTTTGATACCGATGTCAAACAAAAAGTTTAACATCTTATTTGAGAGTCGTTGATATTGTCTTTATCTAACGACTTTGGTTTGTAAGATATGACACCATTGATCTGCGTTGATCTAACGACTCTCAGATGATGTGTCAAATTTTTTGTTTGACACAAGTGTCAAAGGATCCTATATATATATATATATATATATATATATATATATATATATATATATATATATATATATATATATATATACATAAATAGTATTCTTTGACACCGAGTGTCAAACTAAAAATTTTGACACAAAATCTGAACAGTTGATTTTCGCCAATCAAACGGTTATAATTTATTGAAAATTAATATTTATTTAATAAGTGTGACCAATAAATTATAATTGTTACATTTACTGAAATCAACGATTAAGATTTAGTGTCAGGATTCTTTGACACCGGTGCCTTACTTTTAAGTTTGATACAAAATTCTAATCGTTGATTTCTGTCAATCGACGATCATAACTTATTGAGAATTACTGGTTAATTAATAAATTTGACCCAATAAATTATAACTGTCAGATTGGCATATATATATATATATATATATATATATATATATATATATAGGGTAAAAGATTTCTCTAGTCAATAGAGATAAGTTATCTTCGGTGAGTCCAAAACGATGTCATTTTGGGGCGAAAATCAAGAAATTTTTTTAATTTTAATATATTGCAGGGTTATATTAGTCTTTATCATTATAATTTTTTAATAGTATAACCTCAAATGACGTCTTTTTGAGCTCATTGGAGATAACATTATGTCTAGTGACTGAAGAAAATAGATTATAAAAATACCTTGATTTCCGTCCCAAAACGACGTCGTTTTGAACTCACTGAAAATAATTTATCTCCATTGACTTGAAAAATCCTTCACCTACATTGGTGTAAGAATAATAATTCTTACACCAAATCTTAACTGTTGATATGCATGAATCTAACGATTATAATTTGTTGAGAATTAATAATT